CTACCGCTTGCCATATCAATTTGAAACTTTGTTTGTGGCTTTATTATAATAGATTACAGAGTTTGAACCATGTATTAAAATTCCATTTTTGACTGGAGTTATGGCCCGTTTGCACATAGGAAATTCTCATAATTAACTGTTTTCCATATTATTTGTAACTTAGTATACATGTATAATGGATTACAGTTTGAGTTAGAATCCAGTGTCAGTGTTCTATTATTTCTGGAGTTATAGCCCTTTGTACATAGGAAATTCTTATAAGTAACTGTATTTTTTCGGTCAACACATGCACTTCCTTCAAATTGTAGTTTTCTTCTATAGGTGTCTCCTTGACACCCGTCCTCATATGACCCTGGCTATTGCGAGGACATAAATCACCTAATACAGTACATCCTTTGAAGTCCAAAACCAATGGTCTGGAGCATTACTTGGTTAAGAAGACTGAATGCCGTTTAACAGAGGGTCTCATTCATAATACCATGACTCCCTAGGGGGAGGAGTGGGGTCCCAAAGGGGGATTCTCCAATTCAATTACACAATTTGTTGTTAGGACCCCTGAACATCTTTAGTAATGAGGACAAGGACAGGTGAGCTTTCGCCCTGGTGCGGCGTCCGTCGTCCCGCCCCGTTTCGTCGCGTCACATCCCCATTCAATGTAAACACTTAGCAACTTCATTCTTTGGCAGATTTTGGTTAAACTTTATCTAAAGGTCAAGTATGGGTATACTTCGGACATCGTTGTATTTCAGGGATCCAAGGTCAAGGCCAAGGTCACACTTGCTATATATAGAAAATCACCCTTCCCGTCATATCCCGTCCCGATTCAATGTAAACACTTAGCAACTTCATTCTTTGACAGTTTTTGGTCAAACTTTATACAAAGGTCAAGTATGAGTATACTTCATACATCGTTGTATTTCAGGGATCCAAGGTCAAGGTCACACGTGCGATATATAGAAAACTAATTTTTAAACACTTAGCAACTTCATTCTTTCATGGATTTTGGTCAAACTTTATGCAATTTCAGCAAAGGTCAAGTATGAGTATATCATTGTGTTTCAGGGTTCCAAGGTCAAGGCCAAGGTCACTGTTGCTATATATATAAAATCAACAACTGATTCAATTTAAACACTTATCAACTTCATTCGTTCATGGATTTTGGTCAACCTTTATGCAAAGGTCAAGTATGAGTATACTTCAGACATTGTTGTGTTTCAGGGTTCCAAGGTCAAGGCCATGGTCACTGTTGCTATATATAGAAAATCATCTACTGATTCAATTTAAACACTTAGCAACTTCATCCAATATGTTATGGAGATGGTAATAACATACAGATAAAACATATGAATATTAAAGTGAACTTATCAACTTTAAGTGTAATACCTTATGTGTGTGCATGTTTTAGGTTATCAAGATCAAAGTGGTTGTAACTTTTTATAGAACACTGAAACTAATTTCACATGGCAGCAGGG